AGCGCCAGGGAAGACGTTTGTATAGATGGCAGCCGCCACGGCGTATCCAATAGCACCTCCCAAGCTGGAGAACAGTCCGATGAACGACAGCATCATGGGGACGCCTTCGCGGTTCGCCGAGGCCATGACAGCCATCTGCTCGCCGATGACCAGAGTGCCACCACCAAAGGCAATGAAGATCTGGCACATGATCACGTAGCCGATGTCGTCTGCCTGACCCCGGAAGTGAATCATCAAGCCAGCACCCAGGATCATAAGCGGTAGGCCAAAGAACAGACAGGTGTGCTTGAAGTGGTTGGTCCAGCGCACCCAGACGCCGAAGACGACACCCCAGAAGCATGAACCCACGTTGTAAATCTGGGTCATGTAACCGGTCATGGAGGCGGTGAGGTTGTAAACGACCGCACAGAAGTTGTAGAAGTAGAGATCCCAGCAGTAGAAACTGAAGTAGAGCGTTGCGGCCATGACACAAGCACCCAGAACCGTGCGCTGCTTCAGCAGTTCGTAGTTGATGAAATGGACGCGGGCAAACCACTTCTCCCAAGCGGCGAAGACAAAGAGGAGGCAGAACCCGATAACGACCATCGCGATGAAGGCCGCGCTCTTGTATTCTGCACGACCGTTACTGGCCAAGCTGAAGGGCAGCAGCAGCAGCACCCAAGCGGCCATCAACAGGAAGGCACCGACGACTGGTAACGATGTTAGCTGAAATCTCGTCGGTGGTGAGGACACGGATGTTAGTTCAACGTACTATCAAATTCGTGAATATAGTGGGCCACAGACTGTGTCCATGTGCGACCGCTAGGCTGGCGGACATATAACCCCATCTTCTCAGCCTTGAGCTGGTACCGTTTGAAGACTACTGCGAGCGGCGCAAGGGCAACCGGCATAATAATAGCAAAGGCTCCATAGGCCCATCGCCAAGTCGTCATGCGGAGGAAGGACGAAGCAGCCAGAGGGGCAGTGAAGGCAGTGCAGATGAAGGGGGTGTTGGCGAAAGCGAAAGTGAAGGCTCTGTTCCTCAAGCCGGACGTGTCCGCCACGAAGACATCGAGAATCAGGTAGATTGCGTCGTATCCGATCCAAAAGAGGACGTAACCGGCTGCATAGGAGTCGGGCCCGTTGCATGCTGCCAGAATAATAAGGCCAATGGTGTAGATCGCAACGAAGACGAGGAAACCCTCGGCACGACCCCAGAGATTGAGAATCTTTGCAATGGGAAGCTTGAGCACTCCACCGATGATACTGGACAGGATGTTCGCAGTACTGATCTGAGGAGCCGTCTGGAATCCGCTGTAGGCGTTGTTGATGACGTTGCCACTGATGCCCGACTGTAGGGCGAGGAGGAAGAAACAGACCCAAATCCTGAAATGGACGGTCAATTAGACGAGCTCGGGGCAGATCAACCCTCTAAAACGACTTACCAGGCGTAAGTTGCCCAGACTGCCTTCTTGCTCCAGACCAGCGCAGCCGCTTCGACTTTCTGGACACCCAAGTGAGCATCCGCAGTGATCTGATCCGGATGTTGTTGGATTTCTTTCTCATTACGAGCTTCCAGACTCAGCCTTGATGAATCAGTGTCGGGTTGATCGCTGATTTCGGGACCTTTCGGTGTACCTTCCGGAGCATTGGCCTCAGCACCAGGAGGAACCTGAGGAGTGGCTTTGTTGCGAGCCCCGAAACTGCCAAAGAGCCCCATGCTGACGTAGATTATCCTTCGTCCAGCCTTTGTTCTAGGTTAGGTCAATTATATGACTCTTTTTTTCTCCTAGTAAGCCGAGCGAATGGCGTGTCCAGCTTAGCATGAGCAAAGACAGAAGTTAGGTCAAAAAGACTGAAAGGCAAGACCCTGGAAGAAGGGGGAAGGCCGAGTATTCATATGGTACGGAGTCATGGAATGGGCTCATTTATCTACTGGTCTAGTCCAAAGACGACCCAGACACCGTAGCCATGAGAACCTCCACTCAGCCGACAACGGAGCCAAACAGAACATGCAGACAAATTTTCTGCTTGTCTTTTACTTTTTTTCCATGACACACACCTGGTTCTTGCTAGTCTAATCGAGCGTGGAGCCCACACTAGAAAATTAGCTTGAACGTCCGTGAGTGGTCTGACCGTCTAAGAGGCGTGGGACTGGTAACCGCTGGCCTGATCAGATAGCATTTTCAGCGGAAGACGGATCAGATAACTTGAGCGGGTTAGGATCATTGGCGTGGTTCTTTCCTCGCGTACCACACGGCTTGGATGAAGACAGAATTATGATTGGAGGAGGAAAGGGCGGGATATGGAGTCGAGACAGCTGAATGCGCGACGATTGGCGCTTGGAGCGACAATTTCCGGTTGTGGTGTTGGTGGAGCACTGAATCGGCTACATAGGTTTTCGTCATCGGTTTCTTTCTTTTTCTCTCCTCAAGGTAGATCGATATTCGAATTACTTGCTGGCCAGCCAAGCCTTCAGGGGAATTTGGAAGGAACTCTATAATCCCCTGAAAAGTCATTGAAATGCAACACAAGCCATACAGCAGATGGCCAGTGTAATTTTTTGATGTCGAAAGCGTGAAGATAGACGGGGTTGTGTCGGAACTGGCGGATGGATCAGAGCCCCTCCCAAGCCCACAGGACGTCCTAACCCCTGGTCATCGTATTATACAGGTCCTTGTGGCTATCCTCAAGAATAATGCCTACTAGATAACAACATTGATAACGGTGGACTACGGGGTAATAGCTCACGAGGGGCCAAATGGGTTTTGCATCTACTCCCTGATGTCCCCGAATTTGGTACCCGGATGTATCAGAAAGAGCACACCAAATTTTCAATTTCTGCACCAGTGGAGCAATGAGCCCCAGCTATTGCTACTAAAACAGTCTGGGAATTGACCGGTCACCAATGTCGGCTACTGGTGGTCATCCAGAGTCATTGATCACATGTGCTGTCCTTTATCTGATCAATTTTATCTGATTTGTGCGTTTTAGGTTTTCTTAGTATCCACCATGGACAACGACAGGATCGCCATGAAAAGAGACAAGCAAACCAAGAAATGAGCAAAAATATATACTATTATAAGCTAAAATTATCTTTCTGCCTCGACCCTCAATTTTCCAGTAAACCATCATCTACCATGTATTGGAGTGCGGCACAGAAATCTTTGCAGAGCTATTAGGAAACTGTCTCCGGTTTATCTAATCTAATCTGATGCGCTTTGTGGCTTCAAAAATTTATTCCATAACATATCTGACAGACAATGCCATGCGAATCTAACAGGAGTAGCCAAGTCCATATGATAATTGCTCATTTCACGTCGAATGTCAAGATTATTCCCTCAGTCGTCAAAAGCAAAAGTGGCTTCACTACTCCAGGCCGAGGGCGGAGACTGGCTATGATCAGTGCATTCTACGTCCGAGACGAGACAGAGTGGAGCAACAAGAAAATTTTATTTCCTATCTGAACAAGAATGTATCACTAGCTATTATATAGCGTCTAGATTTCTAAAATGCGGCCCATTTAGACCTAAAAAGCAGGAGGCAGCCGAAGTCAATCCTCTCATGAAGTTCTCGAGTCGTTGGCGACGGTACAGTAGTGGGCGGCATGAGTGATGTCTCTCCTCTCCCCAGAAACTCCTTGCCTGACTATGAAATTAGAACTTCGAGACTATGCGCGATCAGCATGTTGGCTGGCTAAACGGTCTTCGAGAGGGACTCGCAGCTGGGTTTTCCCTCCAATGTGAGCCAATCCATGGGGCATCAATACTAGCCGAGGAGAATCAATCTGTCCATGGTCTGAGTCGGTGATTGTGTAACAGTTGGGTTGATAGCGACAGTTCATCCGTAATACTCGCCCATTGCACCTTATTCAGCCCACATCTTGACGGAAAATCGTTTCCATACCCCTACTAGTACTCTGTACCTAGTTCTAAGGCAATACGCGGTGTTTGCTTTGACTCCTAACTTGCTGTGGTTTCCTGGTATCCAAGCAAACACCATTCACTATTTCTTGTCCTCTAATTTTGCTGGATTAAAAGGCAGATGAACATCATTGAACTCGGACAGGGTTGAGATTCAGCCAGCAAAGAGAATGATTGCTGGAAGAGAAAGGAACATCTAAGTCATAAAGACTAATTGGGTCCGCTGCTTACCTGCAGGAGAAATATGTACGTAAAATAATTAATAAACACTGCAGAAGCGCCTCAACTGTTTCTCTCCAGTCCGTTTGCAAATCCAGTGCGCATCCTGGGCCTAGTTGTGGACCTTAAAACGGTAAGATGGCCCAAGGATTATGTGAATATGGATCTCACATAGATATCAATTTTCAACCTACTCCCAACTTCGAGTCCTGTGTGCATTAAGAGTCTGTGACACCTGAGATAGTAGGATTTCCGCCTCAGGCAGAAACTGACACCTGAACTGGGTGACTCCACTCGGCTCCAGCTGCTTCCGCATTGACAGATTTGTATCTCCTGTGCTTCACATGGGTTGCAAACGACATTTCACAGCTATCATCCTATGATAATCCAGGTAGCCATCTGATTCACGGATTTCGGATTAAATAATCGCGATTCGCGAGCCACAACTGTTGGATCATTCTCCCAATCAGAACATACCTTTTTGACATAGTAAACAACGCCGACATCCGAGTTAGTTCCTGAGATTATCATTCGCTCTCTGATGCCACCGCGTCGCAGCCATACTAAATCCCGAAAGGGATGTACTAACTGCAAGAAGCGGCATGTCAAATGCGATGAAGCGCTACCCAGGTGCGACTACTCCATTTCATCGATTTCCCTTGCACCAACGGCTTTGATCATTCAGCGCCACCCTGTCAAGGCTGCATGCCAATCAGTACAGGAATCAAATACTGATTCATTTACAGCTGTGGTTTATGCAAGAAACGGCAGCTAGAATGTATCTATCCATCGCCGGCCAGCGAAGTCGACAGCCAGCATGCATCTACCCCACGAGAGATCATCGACACGACGCCCCAAGAGTGGCCCTTGTCTACAAGGATGCTTGAGATGAGGCTGATGCATCATTATCTGACAAAGACCTATCATACCCTGCAACAAGGCAAAATCGATGCGACTCACTTTCAGACGGTCATCCCGGAAATGGCCACATCCCACCCTTTTCTGTTGGACAGCTTACTTGCACTGACAGCTCTGCACCTAGCCTTCCTGAACCCAGACGACAAGCGCCCGTGGATGGAAGCTGCGCTCAAATATCAAAATCAGGCATGCTCGGTTTTTAGTCGGATTCTCGTGGAGATCTCCCCAGAGAATTGTGGGCCTGCCTTCCTCTGCGCGGTTTTCATCCTCCTATGTGCGACTGCATATCCATGCGTCGCCGGGGATACTCATCCGTTTGATCCACTAGCCCAGGTCCTGGAAACTCGCCGTCTCCTTGTCGGATGTGCTTTTCTTTACCATCATCTGCATCGACATCCAGGGCAATTGAAAGAGTGGCTACGGCACCCGAATGATGTGAAACGGGAGGAAAATGTCACATCTCAAGGGTGATTTACCATTCATTTCTTTATGCATAGTATGATAGCTGATTCTGGCCTCAGGACGTGGAATGCGAAGCTTGTGCCGCTGCGAAGGTACGTATCTCCCTCCGCCTGCATTATTGAATGGAACAGCTGACATCGTGCTAGTGCTCTTCTAGATTCTCTTCGACAAGTAGCGGCCATCATGAACGATGCCAGTGAACCGCAGCGGGCAGCCTACCAGGAAACCTGGGATTTTCTACACGATACCATCAGTTTGTGGCCCTTGGGAGGTCCTCGTGGAGGCATCATATCCTGGCCCATCCATATTGGTGAAGACTACATTGCCCTGTTGAAGCAGGGGGACTGGATCGCTCGTATACTATTTCTACACTATGGAGTCGGCATGCATCTCCTGTCAGACAAATGGTATGTTAGCGATTGGGGGCGCCGCTTGGTGGCTGCAGTTTTGCAGCCTCTACAAGACATTCCTCCAATCTGGACCGAAACTATCACTTGGATAAGACAGGCAGTCGACCTCAACGGCTAGTTCTTTATAACAAGTCGAAAGGGACCGTTACCGTTATCAGACAGAGCGATACGTTCTCAGACAGGCTGGAGACCCGCATGGCTTGAAGTGCAGGTCCAAAGATTAGATCTGCATACAGCAAACCAGCGCGCGAAGCTTCCCGAAGTACATCTGAAAAAGGATCAATGAGCCAAGAAAAGGCAAGCTTCCACGAAGCAGTATGTGGCGAAACAAAATTCTGCCTATCTGCCCGTCTTTCGGGAATTAATAATGCCCAAGTTCTTGGACGAATGCGGGACGGGCGCCTGAGGCCCCAGTTCGCGATTCCCGTTGGCCGAACCGCAGATAGTACGAGGGATAAGTTACTGGAAGGGAGACGCCGAAGCTTATCAATTGCCCTGCCCACACGACCGCTTATCGGCGGGGATGTCCAATGTGAGTTGGCTTTTTCTCTCCCTTGACTTATCATCCGATGTCACTTCATTTTTTTCGTTCTCGTTTCTTTTTTTCGTTATCTTGGATAATCTTATTGTTGCACTATCCTGATAGTGTATATTCAACCATTGCAGTCTCTCGGTACACTTCCCGTCCTCTCAGTCAAACTAACTCCGGACTCCGGAGCGCATTGGGTCTTGGCGGCTTCGTGATGCAGGGGCCTAAGTCGCCTAGTATCCTCCAAGATGTGGAGAAACAGGTATAGTAGTCCACAATAAGCCATACTTCCCCTCATTCCTTTGCATATCGCGTCATTTATAGTTGCAATTGAGCCAAAGTCTAATTGCGATGATGCACCCAGCCACTGTTGCATTCTACTTTAAATACCCCGGTCGAACTGAGCGAGTCATCTCAGTCGCCGACGCGCAGACCAGATCGAGCAACAACAATGTTCGGATTTCTGAGGGCCACGTTCTTGGTCACACTGTTACTCTTGGTGCTGGTCATACATGTGCCTAATGTACTTACTTCACCTTTGGAGCTTACGTACCGTAATACCAATGGTGAAAATGATCAAAGTCATCATGTAAAGGATGGAAAGCGCGGGGCAGTCGCTAGTGAGAGTGCTATCTGCAGTCGCCATGGAATTGACATTCTGGAGTTGGGTGGAAATGCGGCCGATGCTGTGAGTTTTTCAAGCTTCATCCTTGTCCCATCCATCAGAGGGCACCAATCGCGAGTCTTTCTGGGTAGTACTAAGCTTTACAATATAGCTGGTCGCGACGGTCCTCTGTGTTGGAGTAATTGGTAAGCCCAATTGAAGACCGGACCAAATCAACAGACTTATCGTATTCTCAGGAATGTACCATAGCGGGATTGGAGGAGGTGGCTTTATGCTAGTCCGGGCTCCTAATGGTTCCTTCGAGTTCATCGATTTCCGTGAGACAGCTCCGGCTGCCGCATTCGAAGAGATGTTCAATAACTCGACCAACGCATCTACAATTGGCGGCTTAGCTAGGTGAGATTCGCTTTATCTGGCTGAGTTGCGCAAGAGAACTAACGTGCCTCCAAGTGGCGTTCCTGGCGAGCTGCGTGGACTGGAGCATCTTCATAAAAAGTATGGTTCATTGCCGTGGTCGGCCCTGGTGCAACCTGCAGTCAGGACGGCTCGCGAGGGCTTTCCCGTCGGCCGGGATCTAGTGAAGTACATGAAATCGGCTGTTGGTGCCGGCAACGACTTTTTAGTTGAGAACCCAACATGGGCGCTCGACTTTGCTCCCAATGGCACCCGGGTTGGACTCGGAGACATTATGACTCGGAGGCGCTACGCTGATACGCTTGAGACCATCGCAAACAAGGGACCGGATGCTTTCTACTCAGGACCGATCGCGGAGACAATGATCAACGCGCTCCGGGCCGCGAATGGTACCATGACATTGGAGGATTTGCGCAACTATACCGTAGCCATTGGGAATGTGTCACAGATTGACTATCGGGGGTACCAGATTACAAGCACAACAGCTCCGTCGAGTGGTACTGTTGCCATGAGTATTCTGAAAATTCTGAGTACGTATGATGACTTCTTCGCCCCGGGTAATGTGAACTTGAGCACACACCGACTGGATGAGGCCATTCGTTTTGGGTATGGTGAGGTATGTCGAATTTCTTTCGTCAATAAGCAGCGCTAGAAATCTACTGACGAGAGTCTAAGAGAACTAAACTCGGAGACCCTCTCTTCGTTGCTGGGCTGGATGAGTATCAAGAGGACATGCTGAAGCAATCCACAATTGACGAAATCCGACGGAAGATCTCCGATCACCACACGCAGAATGTGTCTGCGTACGATCCGAAAGGAATTGAGAGTCTGAATGAGTACGAATATCCTCCGGCTTCTTGGGGTTCTTTACTAACAAGCCCAGTCCGGGTACATCACATGTGGTAGCGGCAGACCATACAGGCCTGGCGATCTCCCTCGTCACAACCATTAATACCCTCTTTGGCAGCCAAGTCATGGTTCCTGAAACCGGAATCATAATGAACAATGAAATGGACGGTAAGTGCTGCGCCATTTGGTCCCATTCAGCTAAACTGATCGTTTCATCAGATTTCTCCATTCCTGGAAAATCCAATTCATTCGGATATATTCCTTCAAAAGCAAACTACATTCGCCCTGGAAAGCGTCCACTGTCTTCCATCACACCTGCCATAGTCACACGTCCTGATGGAAGTTTATTTTTCCTCGCTGGCTCCGCTGGTGGTAGCCGGATTATTACAGCCACTGTGCAAAATATAATCCGCGTTATTGACCAAGGACTATCGGCAGCGCAGGCATTGGCTCAGCCCCGTTTGCACGATCAGCTAATACCAAATCAAGTCAGCTTCGAGTATACCTATGACAATTCAACCGTCGATTTCATGAAGTCTCTGGGTCATAATGTGACCTGGGTAGCTCCAGGTCAGAGCACGGCGCAGGCCATCAGAGTTCTGCCGAATGGGACATTTGACGCCGCTGGAGAGCCCAGGCAGTTAGATTCTGGGGGCTTTTCGATTTGAGCATTGCTGCGAAAATCGATTTTTACGAACCATGGGTCCAGGAAAGCATAGATGCAATTCAGGTGACAGGACACCTCTAGGACTGTTTGGGTGGTATGAGCGTCCTGGGGTGCCGATTGCACATATCCTCCAGCCTCTTATTCACAGCAATTTATACTCATGTATATATGGGAAATGAAATTTCGGTTCTTGACTTGTCCGAAACTGACTTCTTCGTAAATAATTCTATTCAATAGCATCGCTGATCTGCATGCGCTGTGCTATGGAGCTGCTGGGCTATGCACAACCAGTCGTCTCGTGTCTCGTCACAAACCCGACAGGCTCTCGCCTACCTTAAGGTAGCATGCCGCCCACGCCAGGCGAAGCTACCATATTCCAATGTAGCAACTTCAGATGTAGTACTATACTTGGATGGCACAACACTGGGAGATGGTATCTTTGCGAAGACTTTGTTTCCCGTTTTTAGCAGTCATCAACAAAGTTTTGTTGAAGCCACCCTCCATCTTCTCATCTTGTCTTGGATATATGTGAGGAGAAATGAGAGCAAGGACGAAACTAGAGTGCATAGAGCGTCGAGATCAAATTTGTCATAGCGTTTGGACACTTCATGTTACATTTACCGGAAATCGTCCATTTGCGTATCCAAAAGTTAGTCACACTGAATAGGCTCTCCTGAAGGAAGCACAACTGTTAGAGAGAGAGCGGTTATCCGAGTCATTGCAATCAACCTGCAGTTTGGCGAAGTCTAGCTACATACCCCAATAGTGAGATTCCTTCTGATATAATGAGATCGACTACATAATTATTAGGCCTAAGGTGTGAACCAACGTGTCATTGGATATTAGGCGCCTTTTCCTTATGACTGATTCGATTCAGATCATCATGCTTGATTGACAGGTAAACCTTGGCACTGGACCTGTCACGTTGTTGTACCTGGATATCTTCAATTGGCCCGTGCGCCGCATTTCCGCGTCGTCTGTTGATGCATTTAAAATTATTTCCACCAGCGGTGTTCCTCAGAATTCAGCTTATTTCACCTTATAAGGACTTGCAAAGAGAGCAGGGCTCTCTGAAATCTAAGCCTTAATTACTTGGACATTATTTCTATTTGAGCCTGTCAAGCCCGACTCGAAAGGGTTCTGCATCACTGCCTTGCTGCCCATTCAATATGCGGAAGCTATAGCTTCGCTTACTATTGTAGGGTGAGGCAGACAGATATGACTGAGGTATGCGTTTCATGTCAATGAGTGAATATTTGAAATTATCAGTGCGAGCGTTATTCACTGACACGTTCACCATTTGTGTTAGCCATGAAAAGGCATCACCCAGGCAGAACCAACCATGTCTGACAGCACTCACAACACTAACAACTGCTGCTTCAGAAACTACAAGCACATCAAATCACTTACAGCACAAGGAATTATTACGATAGCCTATGACTGTGTCCAGAATGTCACCTCACGCTGTCTCCGTCGTCATCTCCCCTCCCACCGTCGACTTGGACTCCTACGAACCCTTTGACGAGGAATACCTTCGCACTGTGGACGAGATCCTCTCGGACGAACCTAGCTTCGACGCCTCATTCGACGCATACAGTGGCGGTATCTCCACGGACGGGGCGAATGACTCCCCACAGCGAGAGCGTGGGACTGGTCGAGCCTCCGTCGGCGAGAGAACTGGACGTATTCACAAGAAGTCGCCTTACTTCTCGACGGGCCAGATGTCTCAGCGGCGCGTCGGATCGAAGAGGAGTATTACCAGAATTGATGTCGACGAGGAAGACGATGACGATGACGATGACGAGGACGAAGGCGAGGATGAGGATAAGGATGAGGACGACTTCACCCCTGCTACGTCGATCGAATCCGTGAAAATCCAGGTGGCCGATAAGAACATCGAGAACAAGCACCATGATAATAAAACATATGCTACAGCCAACGGGAACATTGTCGACGATGACATCGCTGAGGAAGATATCGTCTTCGCTTCAGTTGAACCGGAAGCGCAGGCTCGCTTGCTAGATTTCATTGCGTCGCATCCATTTATGCGTGGTGGTTCATATCCTGTGAGACGGTCCAAAAGGCGGACCTTTGTGTGCGAACTCTATGAACAAGCGAAATCGACTGGAATGGACGAGCACTCGATCGACAGGTTGACAAACTACGTGAGGAAGACATATCTGGAACTGTATGGAAAGGACTATGTCGATACCCAAGGCTCAGAATTTGGTGACGAGATTGATGACGTGGCGGGGGAGAGAAGAAGGTCCTCGAAGGTCTCCAAGAAGGATCGGAAGAGGAAGCGATCGAATGGCGACACGGCTAAAGATAAATCCAAGAAGAGCAGATCGCAGTCTTCGCAGTCTGTTGAGGAGAAGTATACTGCCTCAATGGCTGATCCGCATAATGATGCCAAGCGTGAGGTAATCGATCTGGAGGCCGAGTATCCTCTTGAGGATTTCTTCGCTAGTGCCGCTGCTGAGCCCGAGGTCTTGACGAGCGTATCTCCTGCGGAAGAATTACCCAAGACCAGACGCCCAAGCTTCAGCAAGCAGTCCGATCGTTCGTCGAAAGGCAACAGATCGAACAGTTTCTCTTTTGTCACGCCAGAGAAACGCAACAACAGAGCAAGCGCCTTAAATTCTTCTAAGCACTCTCTACACTCACCTGCGAATTCCAAGGACGAACCCATTTGTCTGGAAAGCGACTCCGATGGATCCAAAAAAAGGCCCACGGCTGCCCCAGGCGCACATCCTTCGGATAATCCGGAAACACGCAAGGAGAGCATAGCCAGACCAAAGAAAGACAAGAATCACAGAAAGCGTCGGAATCGCAGGAAGAGGAAAGCTGAGAAATATAGGGAGAGCCTGAGGGACTCGGAGATTCAAGAGCTTGCAGCTGATGATGGTCACATTGAAGAGGATGCTACAACCAAGAAGTTCGACAGGAAGAACGATGGTGATATTCAAGTTGAGAAGGACGTTACCATCCTTGATGACCCTTTTTGGACTCTGGATTTTTAAAAACCGATGATTCGCAAGGTGTGACCGCCAGTGATGAGGTGAAGTCGAAATATTTTATGAGCCCTCAGCAAGTGGATGGTTTGGCATCGAGCCTTCGCAGCCAGATACCTGCTACTTATTCCGCTATTTCTGTTGGAGATTACAAGCCTATTCCCGAGGAAACTCGGCAGATTTTGAGCGAATTTGGCTTACCATGTGACTTTCTGGACTCTGAATCTGAGTCGGATCTAAGTGATGTGCCGAGTGACGATGACATTTTGGATCCTGCTGCTTCTTTGCGCGGCGTGATGCAACCGCCTGTCCAAGGAGGGATATCCGGGAGACCTGCGGAGGATATCCCTAGGACTCCGGTGAAGGGCGCATTATCTGCAGACCCTGAAGTTCCGTTCGTTATGACACTTCGTCCTCGGCCTCCTAAAGTGTCTCCTTACTTCCCGAAGCCGCTCATCGATCCCGATTCCTGTCTGCCTTTCCCCTCAATCGACGCACCCACATTCGGTTTGGTGCAAGAGCAACTCGCCCACGATCCATTCCGCCTGCTTATCGCGACGATCTTTCTAAATCGAACTCGCGGAGGCGTTGCTTTGCCTGTTCTCTTCCGGGTTTTTGACCATTTCCCGACAGTCCACGACATGAGTACGGTTGATTTCTCGAAGTTGGTTTCTATGATACATTCTTTGGGATTTCAGAACGAGCGAGCGAAAAAATGCATCGATCTTGCCAAGACATGGCTTGCTCGTCCACCTACGAAGGGCAGTCGATACCGCAGACTGCATTACCCACGCAAGATGGATGGGAAAGACGTCGGCCGCGAAGAATGCATCGGGGACGACGACACGCGTATAGCATGGGAGATCGCACATCTGCCTGGTGTGGGCCCGTACTCGTTGGATAGCTGGCGCATCTTCTGCCGAGATGAGCTGCGGGGACTAGCGAAGGACTGGAAAGGCAATGGCACCGCATCAGCAGATTTCGTCCCGGAATGGAAATCGGTCTTACCACAGGACAAGGAGCTACGGGCATATTTGACGTGGATGTGGCTCAAGGAAGGCTGGATTTGGGATCGGCACACGGGCGAGCGCAAACGAGCCAGCGAGAAGATGATGCGAGCTGCACGCCGTGGAGGTGTGGCTCAGGAACAGGTCGGCAATTTCGTTTTGGAGATGTCGCCAGTGAAGAAGGTCGCGAATGGTCTGACAGCATGGAGTTGAACGCGTCTGGGAATTGATCCTTGTTTGATTATGGAAGACGGAGTTGGGTTGCTTGGGAACAGGAGTTGAGGTCTTGAATTCAAATCAAAAGATACCCTGTAAAGAGATCGTTCATAGGGAAAATTCAGTAAAATTCCATAAGCAGGTGCTTCCGTTTCGTTACAATGCCGGTGATATTCAAACACATGGCGAGGCATCAATCAGTTCGTTGCCTAAGGTGTGAATGACGATACCCGAAGTATCGTTGGAACAGCAGCAACAAGAACACATTGTAGATTCTCGTCAGACCGAAAACATTTTACTGTCCTCTTCGCAATAATTTGTCTGGAATTAAATCTGCCCATGTAGCCTTACTATCCTGTCCGTCGGGTTTCCATGCAGCACCACGTCACTCGGTCACCCCCAAAACGAGTCTCCAACCCAACTAGGCCTACGAACTAGCCAAAGTGCGCGGGGAAGAATCGATGATTCCACTCCTCACCGCATAATTCTTCCCCATCAGATCTTTCCTTCTCTCTGACTGATGCACTAGTTCTTTGCTCGATCTCCTCGTGCAACACCATTTTTTGATCGTCTCGATTACTCGGACTGTCAAACCTTTTTTTTTATCACATTCTCTCGCATGCGACGGCATGAGTGACACAAGCGCCCTGCCCGGTAGCCGACCAGTGAGCAGTGCGGCCTTCCTCTCAAATTAAGCGCCAGACGACATACTGCCAACAGACAGACGATCCCACTCCAACTGTGGCACAGCATCTCTACCTCCACGAGGTAGTGATCCTCTTGATTTGACCACTATTTTTGACGAGGTAACTAGACGAAACATACAACTCCGGTCGAACAGAGACTCCGAAGAACCGACGGGATCGCACGCCCTGTCGTCTTCCATCTCTCCGTCCATTCATCCCAGCCCAGTCCTACCTATGTCGGACCTCTCTCATCCTGTCATGCTATTTCCCTTGAGACTAAATGACAGAGATCGCGACAGGGACCGTGACAGAAAGCCATCCTCCTCATCTTCCACATCGTCAAAGCCCAAACAACGTCATCAGCGCTTGTCCCACGGACGGCCCTCCCGCCCTTCAACCAAGGATCGAGACCGTGACGTCCCCACGGGTCACTCCTCCACCACATCGTTATCTACTCCCATCTCCACCTCGCGCCAGCAGCGTCGGTCCTCCATGCCGGGCGTCGACGCCGCCAGCCGTTCCGCTACGGCCTCTTTCCTCGAGTCGAGAACCAGCCTGCCCTACCCTACGTTCTCGAAAGCCCACAGTAGAGAGGCTGTCAGCAAACCGGGTATTCCCACGCCGGATCCGACCGACTTGACAGAGGAGAATAAAGAGGCTGGGGATGCAGGCCACAATCATCGTACGGATAGTCGGCATGCGCCTCCCAGCCCGCCCTTGACGAGTCTGGATCAGGGCTCTTCCCGCAAGGGAAGCACGGTCGGCGACCAGGAAGAGAAGGCGGCAGAGGAGAAGAAAGCGAAACCAAAGGACCTGAAGACCAAGATTCGAATTCGAGCCGAGTCTACAAGGTCGTCTTCCAGTTTGCGCTCGAAAAGAGATGAAACGTCCAAGTCAAGCAAAATGGCGAGACCAGAGACCCCGAAGCCCAACAAAGACAAGGATACACCGGTGCGGGTTGCAAGCAAAAAGTCTTCTAAAGCGAAGATCGCTGATGAGGTCAAGCTCCCCAAGCGCTCATCAAGCCGGGGTACTCTGTCCCCGCCCCGATCCCCCGCGACGGTGCGTGAAGTTGGGTCAGGGTCGGCAAACGGATCTGACGCCACCATTGCACCGCATCAGCCGTCGATAACTTCCCGGAAACCACAAACGCCTCCTGCCAAACCGCCTTCACGAAACCAAGCGCGGTCGTCTATGTCACACTCTTTTAGACCAGGGAGCGGTTCGCCGGTCGATATCGCATTTGATTACGGTCGACCTCCAACCGCTAATTCCACATTTGGCGCTCCTCCTCCCCCTCCCCCGCCGCCAGAGGTGCCCGTTTCTATCCCTAGAGTAGACTACCTATTACAGAATGGCGGTCTGGACCACCGAGTACCGAAGACATTACTGCTGGGCCCGGAGCACCCAGATATTCCCCCTCAGCAGCAGCTGCAGCCTGCTGTTGCGGCTGCCAGAGTCTTTGATCCGTTCAATCGTCTTCTCGACGACTATCAACATGTCATGACCAAGAGCGGGTCGCTGGCTGTGGCGACGGGGTACCGGTCTGTCGCTCGGCGGCTACTCGACCGGCTGGAAGCAGTGTTTGCACGTGACATCTCGTCCGAATCGTGTCACTGCCTGTTGTGTGATCACGATGAGATGGAAGAGCGTCCATCAGGAGTGAGCTGGGGCGAGGTACTCGAGCTGGTGTCTGGTCGCAGAGAACTACCTAACTGGCCACCGTTCATGATGGCTCCGTCAGTCGAAGCCGACCTGCCCGGCGACGAGCACATTCCCATGCAGAAGATGGACATTGACGTACCCGAAGAGTACCGTGAGCATTATCTCCGGCAGTCACGCAAGACCAAGGCTGCAGTGGATAAATGGTTGAATGAACAAGTCGCGCAGCCTACCAGTGCTCCGGAGGAGGTGGATGACGAGACGTTGACCTTTGCAATGCTGACACATCTCGGCCCAGAGCTGCGTCCGTTATTCTGTTCGCTTCTAGGCATCACATCCACGTCGACACCCACCCCACGGACGGATGACCAGCAGCCTCGAGCAAGACCGCAGGCGCTTGTGTCATCGTCGCTCGCCATTCAGCGACTATACCGGCTATCCTCTCTGCCCCGTGACCCTGAAACCGCAATTTATATGTTGAACAACCCGGGTATCCACCATGTGCTCGCAACCCTTGCTGCGATCAGCGATGATGAATGGGATATCCTCATCTCCGGCCGGTTTGATGGATTCTTACGCAGTGGCGCTGAAGATCCGATCCCCGGCGTCCCAGGCGCGACCCCATCACGCTGGAATAGCAGCCGATCGAATACGCCGTTCACTACAGGAGGAATGTCCCGCGGTCCGACACCGAGCCATATGGATGGTGGCGTCCGACCGGCCAGTCAGCCCTACGGCGTTAATTCATCGTCGCCTGCATCCTTCGGTGGACCCATTGCGCTGGACGAGGAGACGGAGATCGCGGCCCTCGCTGAGATCGAGCGCGAGATTTTCCTCGGAATGGAAGCCCTCGAGGATGCCTTTGAAGCTCTTCACTGCAAGGCTGAGGTCGTCCGGCGCGCGCTGCGTGAACGCGGGGCAGGCCTGTCCATCGCTAATCAAAACCGCCGCGGATCGTACGTCGAGGCACGACTTGGCACTCCATCGTCCGCCTTGGGGACCTGGGAGAGCGGAACGGAAGATGATGGAATTGACGATGACCGATCACTGGCGCCTGATGACTCGGCTAGCAACATCAGTTCCAATCGTCGACGACGGCCCAAGCGACGCACCGAACGACGCACACCTGCGCCCGTCGAGGAGGAAGACGAGGAAGAGGAAGAGTCACATCCCAGCCGCCGTGATCGCGATCGAGGGTCGCGAAGGAGATGACTTTGACTGAACTCTGACAAATTTTCGAATCTACACTACCGAAGCGATGATGATGATGTTTTACGACTCTACCCCCAGACAGATTGATGATTCTTTTACGGAAGTCGATGGGCAGACCCCACGACGACGAGAAACGACGTAGTTACGATCGCAACGAAGCGTAGGATATGAATGAGGACATGGGACCAGACGATGAGAATATGGATTGTACATGTACTTCCGGCAGACTGGTATTACTGCTTCTGTTGTACTTTACTCGGAGGTTGACTGAGGGTTACTCGGCTGTTGCTAGTCTCAGTTACTGAATCATGAAGATCAATGAATCCACCTGCTCCGTAGATGAACAGTATTAGCAGGGAACACGGACTCTATCCGAGCCATCTTCTCTCCAGATTGCGCCTTCTGCATGTGATGCTCATCATCCAGAGACCCCTTATCACTACCAGATGGGGTATACCGGTAGCACATCGCGCTCACATGAGAATGTACCCCTCAGGACTATCCTACACTATACAGACTACCAAATCAATAACATCAAAACCTCGATCCAATCAATGCAATAGCCCCTCATGTACAACAGACAATAGACTCAGTCCCCCAAACCTTGACACCCGAACCTTCGGACTAACAACCCAAGACAGTTAGGCCAGCTCTTAACTTTAAGAATTGCAATAATAACTATAATAATGACTTACAGACTACAGGATACTGTACCATGGTTCATCCGCCCCTGACTGGGGGATGAATCTGATTTGTTCCCGGCCTGTCCAGGGGTACTCAATAGTATTCAATAGATCGATGGCAGTGACTGGGGTTAGAGTTCAGCTGGGGTATTCCCTATCTATCCAGATCGTCATTCTAAATCGGGTATATGTCCCGAGTACCTTGTGAACAAACGAGCAGGACTGACAAAGAGCACCCCATATGCTGATCAGAAGATGAGATTCGATTTGATTCAATTGATATGGTTGATGCCATAGTTCCTTAGTTGTGGTTTAGTCCACGCTGTCGAATATTAATCCAAGCTTGAGTTCGGAACCGCCGACGCGGACCAAGAGTTCTCTTCCATGGATCGGGGCGCACAGTCCTTTGGGACACTTCCCTCAGGTTCTGGTTCCGGCTGTATTGCGTCTAACCCTATACAGGAGTCCGGTATACACCGTGAGGACTCCAATCTAGACAAGATACATACAGTAGAAACAAAACGAAATTTCTGCTCTGCTCTGTTCTGTGTGCTGAGGATCTCTTTAGAAATGGTGCATGGGGTCTGAGAGCGAGAGAACTGCCGAAGGATCTTCCGAAGGATTCCAGAAGCGGCGTAGAAATCCGGGGTCGAAATGGCCCCAATTCCATGTGATACGATCTAGACAGACACGATACGAAATCCTCCGATTCAAAAGAGATGATAATTGGCAAATAGACTTGAGGCTGCAGCCACCACGATAATCCTGGTGCTGATCATCCAGCATGCAGTGTGCACAGGGCGCGGTGAACTTTAAAATATAATGAGAACGTGATAGTGACCGGCCCGGCTAAGGCTCGTGTTGAGGGGTCCTTCTATGGCACACCAGTCAAGGATCCGATTTATTGGTTTTCTCCACCTAGTCAGATGGGCAGACCTTGCTTTGGCTATAATGATGGCAGCAATGAGGCGGATGTACCGGCCGAGTCTGGAATTTTCGAGTCATGAAATGCTAAAACCCTTAAAGATTGGGATTTAGTAGATTTGGCAGCAGCTAAAGATCGCGGGCAAGGACGAAAAATGCAAATAGCGCCACATTGCCGTTGACTTTGAACTGGGTTGAGGGTGTAATACGAAGAACCAATAGAATGAAAACAGAGGGCAATAGACGAATACAAACTCAACAATGAGCAAGGAACTGAGTCAAGGGTCCCTATACTTTCTTGCTCGAATATCCACTGTCTTGGATTGGGAGATCCGATCAAAGGATTGAGAGAGATCCATAGGCTTGCAGATCCCCGACCCAGACTGGTGGGATAATACTCCAGATCAGACCTACATGTATACAAAGTAGTTATTCTCTTAGTCCTTTGTACGGTCTCAGAGGGTCTTCGAATAACCTCATACTAGGTAATCAGATGCGTCCTTCGTTTGATATTAGAACGTGGCACAACATCTGTCTCGCCTCCTACCGATTCACATCTATCAATTGTTAGCCATAGGTGCTTTGATGTATACGATGCACAGAGCCTACMCAGAGACTTGGTGCTGTGAGGCACCAATGACTAGACGTGCTTTCATGAAGCCGAGAGACAAGCAACGGCGAGCTTCCGGGATTCTGAGCACGCCACTGCTGGGAACGCAGGGTCGTACTTGGCTGGCAGATATCCATAGTTGCCAATGATCGATTAGGCAGAAGCCAAATGATCCTTTAGGCTTAAGTCAACCAATTGCCAATTACTTGAGGGCTGCAGCCTCATAAGTCGACAAGGCCACGATTAGACTACCCCTGAAGCAAAACCGAGAGTAATGAGGGGAAAAAAAAGCATAAAGGCGGGCGTGCCATAAAACACTCCATTCAAAGTCGAAGTCTGTAGAGTATCCAATGACGACGGCCGATTTCGACAGCAACTCTACAGTAGAAGCGCCCCTGGCCCTTCTAGACTCATTATGACGACTGCAGCCATCCAGTATCGAGCTTTTCGTACTTTACAGTACAGGCCCATGTTCAACGAGTCGCCTGTGTCAAATAAATGACGGGCTTGGCTTTTGAAATTGGCCCGTCCTTTGCTAATGATGGTTAATCTCCAGACATTCGACAGTGCGACAATAAATGAGCACAGTCAATGAACGAGTAATTTGCATAGTTGCTCTTTGTTATCATCGAAAGGCCCTTCTCTTGGCTAAATGCTTCGTATACTGACCTGTAAAGGTCTGAGACTGGGGTATTATGAATAAGCTACAGTCTAAGGGTGCGTCCAATCATGCAATTGGACGAGACAATATCACAAATTCACAATGGACCAGACAATTGGAGTCATGTTGTGACAGTGCAAGTCCAGAAGCGTAAATATATTAGCTTCAGCCTATCATGCGCAAGCACACAGGAAAGAGAGAGCATAACAATAATAATCACTGTCATCCACCAATGGGATCAGTAATCAGCTCGCTAGGAAAGTATTGCGAGCAGGCATTTGCCGCGTCTAGAAGCCTGTCGAAAACCGGGTTCCAGGAAATCCCCCTTCCGAACGGCAGGGGTACTCCAGACTCTGGTGTACAGGAGAAGACTTCCCTCGGAAAGGGAAATTGGGGGAGATTGGTGCAGAATTCCGAGAAGGTCAACCGTCAAGAATTTGATGTGTCAACATGATTGTTGATGGACAGGCTCAAGCTTTCGGGTAGTGAATCCCACAGACCAATGAAGCATGTTCATGGAAGCATGCACGAGTCGTCAGTTATCTAACATCTTGCTTAATCTGTCTTGTCTTCAGTGACGGCTTCTCCCAAACTTCTCTGGCGGCAATCAGGTCCAACCAGTACTGACCAAGCCGAGGCCCGACTGCAACGGAGCTACAGTACTGCATTCCTAGTTTGTCTTCGCGGTTCAAGATTGGTGGGTCGGCGCATCTAGCAGAAAGTCTCACTGAATCACCATCACCAGTAATTGGTTCTTAGCTTTTTCCTTTTCGTTCATTCTTCAGGCCTGACACTTTGACAGTGATGAGCGATGCCGTAATAGAGTTTGATAGCCAGGAAAATTTTCGCGGAATCGGAAAGTCCCCCCGACCGGAACTCGCGGGTCTGGTATGGGCCGCAACCCACGCGAAAGCTGTGCGGAGTACCAGGGATATTAACATGACGAACTATCTTTGATGCTGTGGATGGCGTCGAGTAGATTTCCGTTATCGCCTGGCTATATTGTTCCAGAACACAAAGTATCCACCCTTGTCAATGTAATTGGTTCTGTCATGAAAAGGTACACATTAAGTAGATGATAAGAAGGAAGCACATGTTGAGAGCTATAATGCCTTTGGGTGTATTTCCTGCCATATCAGCTAAATGAAAGCAAACTTTGATCAGAACATGGGGACAATGATTGTGATGATCAAGAAACCTAGATCTTCAAAAGTCTGGTTGATCATCACCATCTTTGGCTGTAATTGGGTCCTGGCCGTTAGTTCACACTATCAGGATTCAGTAATCACTGATGGCCCGCGTTGAGCGGCCCACCTGAACGCTCAAGAGAAGCGCAAGCACTATGCATGTGGATGGACAATAGGCAGCAATGATGATTCCAAATAGTCCAATAGTCCTGAAAGAAAGACATATCAAAGTAGCGTGATAATTGGATTATCTATCTGCCAGTAAAGCATAGCAGACTTGAAAGGAACAGGGAATCTGCTGGACTCGAACCTGGAACCTCGCGTGGCAGCCACGGAACACGTGATATGAAGTACCTGCATCAGTCTGGAACTGGAAATTTCAAAGAAGCGTCGGCCGCGTTGGCTCTGAGGCTTGCGCATATTCTTGGTTATGGTTGTCATTGTTGACCGTCCATCATATCCACGACATTAACCAATTGTGAATCCTGAGTTCCTGACTTGAGGAAAATCTTGACCCGGAGAGGAATGAGTTGCGTCAGATTGGCCCGGTTCTGAAACAGCCCAGCCTATGGCCCACAAATGCGGGGAACTTCGTTCCATTTAAATGATGCGGTTACATTGTGGCTTCTTTGTGGCGACGAGCCTAGAAGCAAGGCCGCTCCAGACAACTCAAATGTGAAGAATGTCAGTCACCGGTTCCCTAAACAGCCTCTGTTGCTTTGCATATTTTGCATTTGCAGTTAAGGTTGGCTCAATACCTCTCCCCCGGCTAATCTTATCATGATTATACAGGATATGTCTAGAAAGGTAACTATCGTCTGCTCTACTACGTACAGAGCAGCTGTAGCCCTGTATTGACATCAACATCAGGGGAGACGTGTCACCTTCCGCTGTTGTACTCGGTACGCGTCGACCCCATCGCTGAGTAGTACCGCACATGATAATGTTTTGGTTAATGCAAGCTCCTCTTGCGTCTCCAGAGTTCATTTCTCGAGTCCAACACTTCAGGATATTCCGGAGTGTGTTTCCCGGGCTGACAACGTGAAATTCCTCGTGGCACATTGACTGCAATAGGACAAAAGGCCTTTGCCTCTGAATTTCAACCCGGAGTGTATGACATGAAGCCAGTCTCCCTCCACATTGTTATTCCAGCCCTCGAAATGGTAACTTGACCACGATGGCACCAAATTCAAGTGAGCTTCTTTGGCTCAATCGAGTGAAGGTTGCCAAGCAACAGAAAGGGATGATCGTCGTCAAGCTTTACCAATACACAAGTTCTTATCCGTGGTACTACTTCATGCTGTCTATCTCTGTGGTCATCGCAGACTCGCAGCTGCACAAGAGAATCGCCGTAGTGGAGCTGGGGACCTTTGTGCATGTTCCCAATCCGGTGAGGTCTCGGCGATCTAACGCGATTCGAACACAGGTCCATTGATCTCGCGCTTGCTAAGCAAAAGTTTGTTGTTTTCGGTAACCAGAAACAGAAAGTCTTATTCGCATTCGTTGTTGCGGGGTTTAGTGCCTTGTGTCTTCGTAAGCAGTAATACCATTACCCGGACTTCCTTGGCCGAGCAATTGAAGGTTCTTCGTGGTGGCAAATTAACTGTTTCTATTTCTGCTGAATGGATCATCCATCTTTCCCAGTAGGTCCAGCACTCTTTTGGATTCAATGTCGTTTCTGCCTTGCCAACTTTGTCAATCATGCAAATATACGTCTGGCCCTGGGCTAGCTACGTGCCTGAACCGAGTATGGAGTACTATGGAAAAATAATCCTAATCAGCGGCAGTCGGTCTTCCCCCTGCAACAAGCAGCGAATGAGAAATGGCCGTCCTACGCAACCCCTGGTCGCAGCACGAGTGAACACAGAGGACGATAGGCAAAATAGCCGGTAGTGGTTCAAGGTACAAACCTTAAGAGATAGTCAACCGATTTATAATGCTTCGTTGCCCTATCATCTGGGGCCTCTTCATCCATTTGAGCACGGATTACGCACGATTCTGGCGGCGGTGATGTCCGTGTCCCAAGGTCATTGTACAGCATCCTTGTACTCGGTATTTGACCGCTGCAAAATTCTAAACTCCACTCTCTAACGGCAACCTTGACTTGACCCCCTTTCTCGCGATTCCTCGGCCTGAAGAGGGGTTTTCTCGTGGTGGAGCGACTAGATATCCCTAGTACAATACTATGTAATAGGGCTAGAGATTATCGTTGGCCTTCTGGCTGTGATTGCGCTGATCAAACTCCACACAACCAATTCAGGATCCGGAACAATCTTATTATTATTAATAATATCATTAATATGTTCATTTTCCATAGTTTTAACTTTTCATTTTGACATTTTGTTCTGCTGATGAGGCGCTAGTATCATCATTATCATTGCTGGTTCGGTGGCTGACTTCCTTTGGCTCAGTCGGAGTTGATGAGCAATGAGCATAAACCACCGCTGTGGCTAAAATCTTCCTTAGTATCCTCACTGATCCTTTCCTTCTTGCTCGACTATTGAGCTTTCTTCTTTCTCTCTCTGTTTCCCTTTCTCATTTTTCAGTCGTTCCCCCCTGGTTCACTTCCCTTTGTTTGGGGATCTTCAAATACCTGTCAGTCGCAGGTGCGGTACGGCATCAGACCACATACTTTTTTCTCTGTGTGACTGTTTTACTCACAAGCTCTTCTATGTCGGCCTGATTCCGTGAAGACGATGACTGCGACACACACAGGGCCGTGAAAATCACCAGGAACCTTCGAGAGCAATGAGTCTTTTCCAAATGTTGTATCTGGCCGGGGACAGGCAAGATGAGAGTCATGTCCTGTCGCCCCGGCTGGCGTACACCGAGGCTGGTGTCACATATGATATCGACCCATTACCTGCAACACAACACAAAGGTCTTATCGCAGTGGCTGTGATGGCCATTCTCTCGTTTATCGCAACCCTCGCTCTGATCTCCTTTATCACATACCGTCTTATTTTCTGGCGCTCAAACTATCAGCGGTACATCGGATACAACCAATATATCGTTCTCATCTACAACCTCGTCATCGCCGATCTTCAACAGTCGCTCGCGTTCCTACTATGTCTGAAATGGATTGCGGAGGACAAAATAGAAGCTTCATCTGCAGCATGCTTTCTGCAGGGATTTTGGTTGCAAATCGGAGACCCAGCAAGTGGTCTCTTTGTCCTCGCCATCGCGGTCCATACATTCCTTCTAGTCGCCATGGGCCATAAGTTGAGCTACCGCGTCTTTGTTATTGGAGTTGTTGGGCTCTGGGGATTTGTCGCTGTTCTGGTTATTATTCCACTTGCTGCCCACGGTCGATATGTGTTTATCCCGTCTGGCGCCTGGGTAAGCATGCTCATCGCCCTTTTCGCTGAACCACCCATGCTAACCGATCAAAGTGCTGGATCAATGAGGAGTACGAAGCCATCCGTTTGTGGACACACTACATCTGGATTTTCCTGGCCGAATTCGGCACGGTCTGCCTGTATGCCGTCATGTGGTTCCAATTACGCGCGCAAATTAAGCAATCGACGATTCTGGGAAGCAGCCACACGGCGAGTCTGAAGCGTCTCCGTCGTGTCATCGGATACATGGTTATCTACCCAATCGCATACATTGTGCTTTCGCTTCCGCTGGCGGCCGGACGAATGGCCACCGCTCGGGGCAATACACCGAGTCTCGCCTATTTCTGTGTCGCCGGAGCGCTCATCACAAGTTCCGGCCTCGTCGATGTGCTCCTCTACACTCTCACCCGTCGGAACCTCATCCTCGAATCCGAGCCGAGCGAAGACCGCAGCTACAATCGCTTTGTCAGCAGCAAGAACCGAAGGACGGACAACCACCTTACCACCATTACCGCCGATCCCAAACATACTCGCACGGACATCAGCGTCCTACGCACCCGGAGAGGTCGCGACGAGGAAGAGGATAACGTCGATGGGACAACCCGCGACGGATCAACAGACAACATCGTACAGCCCGGTGTCGAATTGGCTCCCATGGGCAAGGTGTTCCAGCACACCACGATCGAAATCACCCACGAACCGGCATATCCCGAAGCCGAAGGGAGCGACCGGTCCAGCAAAGATTCGTTACAACGCCCGGTCAAGGGCCATGAGAATGCATCCCGGATGTGGGGTCGATAATGGTTGTCTGCTCCGTCTATAATGCCTCTCCCATCTAGATACACGATGTCAACATTTACGTTCCCTGTCGCTTCTATATACCACTATCTTTATCTTCTTTGACTCCGTACGAACTTCTAGTGATGTCCTACTCCTACTCCTATTCTTCATCCCGATTTCTCGACTGAGCGGGCATTGTCTAAGCGACTCTGACCTCGACTCATCCGACGGTGATTCTTTGTACATTCTATATCATGTTCTCATCTCTTTCCTTTTCTTTTCGTCTCTTGTCCCGGGGAGGGAAAACTCATTATAACTTGATGATCGGTGATGATCTTTCTTATCTGGTGAGCTCGGTTGTCGAGCTTTGGTCAATGCCATTACAGGACTTGTCCTGTCATACTATATAATTAAAACCACTATTGATTGAATCTTGCTCGTCCGCAGCGTAAAAGTTAAGCTAAGATACGGAGTAGAAGTGCATAATATCTGCACTGCAGTCCAACCAAACCCATACCGCTCTTGCATGGGATAGTGCTCATTATCAATCTAGCAACCACAGCCGGGGACTATCCAAGACCTGTAGACAGATAGCCTTTGCAAAGTTGCAGTATCCGAGCATCGCTGGTATATGATATGCGGGGAAGACGATGTGGAGCTGACGGGGACGTGGGGATAGTTCTGCAGTAGAATTACCATTCCTGTATAAAGTGGTGAAGTTACGACGAGCAAGACGGACAGCCTTCTTCGAACGCCACCAAATGCCGAGTCGAAGGTAGGGAGGACATAGGGTCGAGTTGTCCTCTACGGCGCTGTCTTTGCTCTATGGGTACTCCAGGTGTATAGCTCGACTCATGGCTGGTCGAGACATACTTAAAATCTACGCTCTACTCTCTAGGTCCTCTTCGAGGTCAGGCATCTCTCTGTCGCGTCGCAGGTCCGCTCATACCAGTCTGACTAGAACCTGCTCAAGCTGTCCATCATCACGGGCCGGGGGAGCCAGGTGTCTTCCACATTCGTGACCCAGGCACCATGCGCTGCGGCGAACTTGAGAGCCATGGTGAAGAAGGCGGCCCAGTTGGCTATTTCACGCTCCGGGGCGAGCTAGCTGCAGACGGCAGGGGACATATTTTGAAATGGTGGGTTTTCTTCGTTACTGATGTCGGTGGCCGGTTGATATGTTGGCACCGGGAAAGGCCAGCGATGTGCTGTTTAAAGGATATGGCGCTTGGCTGATCATTGAAGAAGAGAGCCGAGAATATTCAGTTGCTTGAAAAGACCATAATGGGCTCGGGAATCAACGCGCAACTTCCGGTTGTGGGGTTGGCCCTCACACCATTCAGGACGATGTTCCTCACTAAAGAGTATCTCTGCAATATGGACAGCGAGCTGTCGCCGACGACAACGCGACGGGAAATGCAGCCAGGGACATCGTCGTTGGAATAATTCACGAGTCGAGAAGGATGATACAACTCTCACGAATAACGATGTGATACAAGAGGCCTAGAACCTGAACCTGACTGGTTCGCATACCACGGCGGTCACACTGACATATCTCGTTCGAGCGATGTCTTTGCAGCCTCACCTGCACCGCAAAATTGAGGGAGTTAGCAGTTTCAGAGCGGCTTCAACGACGCTACACTGGGAGAGCTGCACTTGCTGAAGGCTGTCATGGAGATATTGAGACTGTATGGAGCGGCTCCGGGCGGTCTCCATCGCACTGTTGCCAAAGGGGGTGGCAGTATCAGGTTACTATTCCCCACAATATTACGGTGAGCACAGAGTTATACAATCCGTCGCAACTCACAACGAGGTTCCCTATCCAAATCCCGGAGCTTTCAACCGGAAACGTTAGATTTCGGGGGATGGGCCGGTTTCCAACCGAACCAATATCGGCTTCTCCCCGATCGGGACTGGCCCGAGAACTTGTCTCGGGATTCATTTGGCTTGGATGGAGCTGCAACTATCTGCAGCGGAGTCTTTCCGTGAACACAAATGGAGGAGATTGGCCCCTAGCTGGTACGCAGAAGATCATGAAGCTAGTGAACTTCTTCTTGATCGCCCCTGTAGGGCACCTGTACCATATTCTGTCCGCACCAGATTCAGCATTTAACTTGACTGCTTGGGAGCATTTCTTGTAGAATGTGATGCTGGAATCGAATGACAAGCAGAGACTTTTTGCCGAGGTCTGATGAAATCCATACCTTTTCATCCTGCACTAAGAGTAGTGTGCAGAGATTGGTCAAAACGAGCTATGAATCCCTGTCAATTCCTGCTGGCCAGGAGACCATTCGGCCGCCGGCATACCCTCGGAAAGTGTAGGATAGGATGAGCCTGGTCTACAGTATTGCTCGTTCACGTGTGCTCAAAGCCAATAGTATGCAAGGAATAGTCCCAAGGAGACTGGGCTCGCAGAGATAGACACGCAGAAGCGGCCACAATCGGGATTTGAATTGGCCAGATCTGTATGCAGTGCGCTTCTTGGGAACAAAATGACAGGCACTAATGCCCCTCATCGATTAAGGTGTCTAGCTGATCTGGGAATGGGCGAATGCACGCCATAAGCCACCTTGGAACTCCACTCGCGGAATGTTTTTCCGGAATGGACAACGTTACATCTCGTGAACCATGGCCGTCGTAGTGGCTTTTCGGTCAGTGCCGGATCAACAGTTGAAACAGGCACCAAGAAGCTTATCTGTGCTCTCTCCAGGTCTTTCAAGGACGAACCATGAACCGAAGATGAAGCTGTCAAAGTCGGGATTCGCATATCCCGATCGGGGTTTGCGTTTTTCCCTCTCCCAATCACCGGAAGGAAAACCCCACGTATGCCACTGCGGTCTGATCATGAATTTTTACTGTGCTGGACTTATCAACAACCCTGCAAGGCCGTGTAATAATGAGTAGATTTTGTGACAACAATGTTTACCACGATAGCAGACGTCGAGCCCGATAATCCTCCGCTCCGTAGGCCTCCGGTCAGAGTTGCCTGCCTTTCCTGGTGTGTATACCGCTGGACCTGAAAGCCGTTTCGAATTCGCAGAATTCTGACAGAAACCCCTTGTACAGCCGTGCGTCCCGGATTCGCTGCGATGGCCAAAGTGATTGCTCGAACTGCATCGCGAAAGGCCACAAATGCGTCTACATTCCTAGCAGACGCGGCGGACCGCGGTATAGCAGAAAATTCGCCAACGCTGTCGACTCGTTTGATGGAAAAGGCGAAATTGGGGGAGTTCTGGAAGAACGAAGCTCATCGAACTCTGATGGAGACGGTACGACTTATGTGTGCGCCGGTTGTGGGAAAACGTATTAACAACTCTCATCCTCGTCTGTAGAATGGTTGAGCCATTTGGTAGGCATGAGTGCGCCGGGAGCCGGACTGCGCAGTATCGACACACCAATGGAGGAGATCGAATCCATCTTTGACTCTGTGTTTGCTCCTAGCCCAGGAGAAGCAGCACAGGAGCTGGATACTTTTTTGGTGTCAGAGCTAGTCCAACTGTATGGAAGTGATGAGGATATGTAAGGAACGGGCAGTAACACCTCACAACATCAGTGGCTGATCACCAGAGCAGACTAGATGCCTACTACGTCTTCATCCATCCTTATCACCCCGTTCTACCTCCACCCGAACGTTTGCCCGTATATAACCGCCCCTTGTCTCAGCGGCTAGAGTTTCGGCCATCAAGTCCGCTCAGTCTAGCTATCTCTGCCCTTCTGGTACTCATTCCACATCCGAACGAGTCAGATCCATTGAGAGCAGAGTATGTGAAGCTCCGTAGGAGCTTTGCGCAGACTTTCGCTCGAGATGCTCTGGACGCTGTAGAGCTTGATGCCAGTCCGCTAAACCCATCGAATAGTGCTCTCAGTATGGATAGAGCACAGTTTCATCCGAAGTTGCCTTTGTATTTAGAAGGCATCCTAGCTCTGAATCTTCTGAGTGTCTATGAGTATGCACAGCGAGGGAGTTTATGCACAATGAGCGATCGAGCCAATGAGGCACTGACATCAGCGATGAAAATGTCGTTGCATGAGTCTCTTGAGGAGGACGAATACGCGGAAGCCAGGCGGAGGACCTGGTGGATGACGGTTAGCTTTTATCAACACTTTGGTGTTTCTTTTGTCAAGTTACCTGACAGATTTTCGACACAAACAGTACATGGTGGCGTGTCAAGCAGCCATTGTGAACAGCATGGTAGGATACTAATCACTGCGGTGTTTGTTTACGAGACTAAAAGTCGGTAGCCTGCAACATTCGACCCGTTTGACCCTCATTTTACGACACCCTTTCCAGAGGTATGTGCCCGGTTCTCGAAGTAAGTTTCTGGTGTACTCATTTTGCCTAAAGGGATGGAAGGTCCCTGTCGAGGCGCAACAGACGCTTCTTGAGACTGTCGCGTTCATGACCGACCTTGAGCGAACGAAGACTTCCGGTGAAGGTGACATTGGGATTCGGAAGCGAATGTTGGGTCTTGATTCCCAGATTGGATCATTGTTATTTCTATGCAGAGACACGCGGTCTGCCCCCAAGATCGTTCCAACCCGGGTGGAATCTCCGGAGGTCGCGGCCTCCCAGATCATGATCACTATTGCAGAAATCCGATTGCACACGTGAGTACACTACACTGTTCACCAACGTCAACACAGACTGTTACTGACATTTTGCGAGCAGCGCCAGAATTAAGGCTCACAGACTTTGTGCTTTCCAAGACATTCCCAGTTTCCATCAACGGCAGTACGAATTCGGACCATCTCCGACTGTATCTGAATCTGAGACCCAGCCCGAGTCGCCTTCTGCTGGTGAAGCAGAAAGCACCCAGCCTTCAACGCCTTCATCAAGCTCCCCTTTGCATTTTCCTTTCTCCTCGCAGGAGTCCTCAAAAATCTGCTTCCACGGCGCCCTTAACATCGTCACCTTACTGAACAATCTTCCCTTCCCTAACCCGACCAACGAGATCCCGCTCAACAGCCCACCATATCTCTCCCAAACAACCCGCGTCGAGATTCCACGGAGCATACTCACCTTTGCTTGCTGTGGAATGCAATCCGGCTATGTGATGTTGATGCTTTGTCTCAAGGCACGCGCTCTGCGCGAGCGCCATATGGAGGAGTCCAATTTCGCAAACACTCCCTCTCTGACAGCTCTTTTGAATGATCTGCATCAAAGCTTACGGCTGCTTGTCAAGTGTTTGAATAACTGTGCGGTCGCATTTGAGGCGCTTTCTGGGATGAGAGGTACCCCGATTCTTATGTCTGAGAATAACGTTGCCTTATTTTGACTGAACTGACAAGACTCGTCGGACAGACCAAATAGCTCAAGCGATGGAGCAAGAATTCCAGAGATAACCTCATCACCCGGCTTGCTATTTACTCGATTTATAGTTGCACATTAGGCCGATGGCTAGTGCAGCTGGTGCACATATATAATTTGGACCTAGGAGCCTCAGGCAGATGTTGGGTTATGCAGCCAAGGACATAAATATGCCTAGGTAGGATAACATGATATATAGTGCTTGTCGATATCTTCGTCACCATTGATCTTCATGATTTCCTCCCTTCTCGACTATCGCCGACAGAAAGCGCACAATCTCAGTTCGAGACACAAGACTTTATGGTCTGCGTTGACACAACAGTTGCCCTCTGATCTGTCAAGTCTGGCATCAAGAACGGCAGCAGATAGACCTACGCCCCATTATGCATTAACCATGGCTTAAAGTACATACTCTCACTATGCTCTGGCATTTCAAGCCTGCAAATAGTGATTTTCATGTGATGACGCAACGGGTCTCTTTTCGTAGATCATTTCCCCACTGGTGTTTTCTTTGGACATATGCTCAAAGACTTGTAACTAGGCGGGTGCTCACCAATAATCTTCTTATACTTTAGGTCTGGGTGTGTATTTACTGTGTCAGAAGTATAGCATTATGAAGGATGTGATTTAGATGCTTGCTCCAGTACAGGAGGGCAAGGCTCATGATTCGGGTAGAAACACAAGAACCAAAAACGCCGCCCAAACTCCATCCACATCCCTCTAACGCTGCACCTATTTCACGACGAAAGAATTGCGCAGTATTTCAAAAGTGCAATCTAGTCTGCAGAACGATGGTTATAGATTGCAAAAGGGCAACGACTGACAAATCTACTAGGCAAGGGTATCTTGGGTTCCACAATCTCAAAGTGAACTTATTGGCATCGCAACCCTAGCTCCTGATACATAGCGATCAACCGCTGCCTAACCGTCTTGGCCAGTGGCCATGACTTCCCCAGCACATGCAGCGCGCCCACTCCAAGCTGGATTCTCGCCTTGATCGACTCCTGTTTCTCTGGGATGGAGACAAACAAGCACGCAACAGTGTGCACTACCACACACATGGCAAGCGCGCAGGTGAAGAACGGCGTGCGATATTTGACCGGATTCGGGAGGGTGGCCAGATTGCACAGCAGATCTGCTGCTCGCAGGAGCTTCTGCGAATGCAGGTCAAGGGAGGCGGAGGGGGGAGTGGCCTCGCGGGTTGTTGGGAGGCGTGTGCAAGAGGTATGAGCGTGGATGGAGGCGTATCGCATGTTTGATCGAGGGTGGTGGAGGTAGATCAGTGCACTGGGGTATGGTCAGTTTGCCATGGGAACGCAGATGGGTTGGACAATTGATGCACGCACAGGTAGCTCGTCATTTGAGCTTGGAAGGTCATTTCATCTAGGCCGGAATGGCTGCCGTACACATCCCGCTGGGATGATGGGAGTTGCATCAAAGTTGTGGCCAGCGCAGCGTCGATGGTCTCCATTTGAGTGTCCAGGTCAATATCCAGCGATCGATTTAATTCCATGACCATGCCAAGAAGGCGCACGGCCTTGATCCTGTATGCGGATGATGGGAATCGCCTTTCGTCATCAGAGTGCCACTTGTTGATCAGATCTTTGAAGGTCAGATTGCTCAATATGACCTAGCAGGCATCAGCGAAGGCGTCAAAAGGAAACATAAACGACGTACCGCGTCCCCGGAGTTATAAAGCTCCTCATCGCAAGGCAATCTCACGTCGGCAGTGTTATGGAACAGTTGGAACGCGCTTTGATCACGCATTGCAGCCAAGAATCCGTCCACAAAGTACAGCTCCCAATACGTCCGCCGCCAACTTTCCTCCAATATAGAAATCCCGCCGGAGTGTTCTGCCGCGAATGCAGCTTTGTTCATACCCAGTTCCAAGGCCAGGCTAACGGCAGCCTGCATGATACGGGTTGCACTGTCTTCGGCGCCACGTGCATGATCGACGATGGCGAGAAGGACCATTCCCTGGACCTTGAATCCGTCACGAGGCGTAGAGTCGGACAACACAGAATAGGCAGATTGGCGGAAGAGCTCTTTGAGGGACGGATCGTGGTGCTGGTGAGCGCCGATGAAGCGCATGATGGACAGGATGTATTGGGGTATCTTCGCGGATAAGGGAGAGTGTAATGCTTTCCTTGGAATCAGGAGCGGATGCGAGCGGTGGAAAGACTGGTAATACAGTTGGATCAGGGGATCATATGCAACTTCTGGTGTTACGGCGTTCTCCAGTTCGGGCCACGCAAGTGCATTCTCTGGCAAACCCGAAATGTCTAACGTCCGGGGAGCTTCGATTTGTGGTTGGAAGAGTGCTTGACTTATCTGGTTCTGTCAGTGACTCCCGCGTATACCACCTCCTTCTGAAAAGGGTCCATACATCTACAAGATCTGAGGTGAGATTTGTCCCACTGAGCCAGTCCGGGAAATCATCAGGGTCGATTGCAGAGAAAAGGGAGGCATCATCATCAAGCAGCTGCTGGGAAGGATTGCCGTTCTTCGTTCGCAGTCCGCGTCTGGATTGAATGTAGCGACATTCCGTGCTGGAGGCCTGGCAGCGGCTACACATTGGCATCTGGGCGTCACATTTTAGATGACGGTGACGACAGGCCATACATGCCAGCGACGACGGCCGCCGGGGAGGCCTGGACGATGTGGAATCTTGCTGCATGGTTATACTCGATGGTTCTGTGTCATTATTGAAGTATCACGAGTTTTACAGTGGCTCGAGGTGGCCAAGTACACTTTTTACAATAATTATCTAAACGTCAGTGAGATTTACTTGTCCGGTAGCCCGCAAGTCAGAAATTGGATCCAACTCCGATGCTCAATAGAGAATAATAATAATGTAATATGTGAAGCCCCCCGATGAGGCCGAGATCCCCGAATCGGCGACCACAGTTGAGGTCCCGGGGGATGGCTACACGTCCGATCAACCCCACCTATGTCCCCAAATAAAGAATAAACTCGACCACGTATTCCGTATTTAATGATTGTGAAACAAATCCGGTATCTGATTTATGTTTATATCCAATTCCTGCGGTGATACAAGTACCATGGGGATCTGAATATAGTAATCGGGGACTCATGGAACCCGAAGAATCTCAGCGGGCTCACATCATTTGCCCGGCATCCTTCTCACCTGCAGGCATCAATGCAGCAATCATTGTCCAGTTATTGAATAGGTACATATGACCTCTCATGCTTGAATTCAACCTCGTTGCATCCATTCTAACTATGCTTATTTGCTCACGTAGTGCGGCTACTGTGGCCTAGGAGGTAAGCTCTACGTTTGCTACACGTTTGCCAGAACTGAGACGACTCGGTTGGATTTTATAGGCAGCGTAAACACTGAACAAGTGGCCCTTTTATGGCCCACAAGGCACTAAGAATCTTGCCGGGGAGCCAGAGAGTATTACTGGCGTCAGCGGGATGGATCGACTCACCCACAAAGCATTGTTGCCTGTGTGGATGAGGTCGCCAACTGGCAAATAGGGACTCTTGCAGCCACTTCGCCGACGCCGAATCCCTGCAAACAGGTGACAATGACGCTATGGATGGAACACAGATGGCCTTAAAGGGATGTCATTTTCTTAATTAAGGCCATTGAGACCGACTCCCCGGGTCTGGCCGACAGATCAGGGTATGGGTCGTTTCTGCAACGAGGTTGTAGCCTGTAGCCTGTAGGATGTAGCAGAGAGCACCACTCCACATGAGTCCATAGCGCAATGTTCTGGCCTGCGGGGGGCAAAATAGTCGACTCTATGGAGTAGCCGCTAAGACCTTTGCGACGTAGATTACAGTGACTTCTAGACGGCGACTAGCCGGTGACCAAAACCAGGCACAAACCTACACACAATGTAACTTCAGCCACGAAAGTATGACACTTAATACTATAGCTGAGATGCTCCTTTAAATGGAACTCTTATTCCTCTGGTCCCCGCGTGCCCCATACCTCATTCAGCTTGTGGATCACTTTGGCAGTTTGAAGGAGTTCCCGAAAGGTCCCCGAGGCCAAGGGCTGTGGCGCCGGGGAAAGTCTCCCGCCAAGACATGAAACCAGCCCTGTGGCATGATCGCATTGGCAGATCTTTCTTGACAAGGTATGAGTTTAGGACGATCAGATATGAAGGCAAATTAACAGGATGATCATGTTTCGAGCTTGGTCAAGGCCTCAAGCGGCTCCGTCTTGACCAGTTAGCGGATAGCGCTGATCAGATTGGTGGTCGAATTGGCTGGAGGCCTATAGGAAGATGGAAGTGTCGATCTCGATCTCGCCAAAGAAGGTCATATGGATTCTGCTGCTGCCCCAGAAACATGAACGATACGATACGTCTTTTGCTCCGCAGTCCAGCGCTGGTTCTATTTCTAGATCACCGCACATCTTAAAATCCGCTCACCAGCCCTGGTCTGTGTACGGAAGTGTATAGTGACCAGTCGTCTCTCTGCTCCTATTCCAGGTCAAGACGGCCTCTCGAATGATATCATGTGGAAGAGACTGTGTCGAGACTAATAGAACTTGAGACGTCCAAAGACTGTCGTCATGGCGCACGCCTAAATTCAAGACAAACGAGCATAGGTGGCATTTCCATTGTCTGATCAACCAAGCCTGAATGAAGCTATGTACTTCCCAAAGACTGACCTACAGTTCAGCAATGGCCAGTGACTCGTTCAGAATACACCGGGTGTGAAATCAACCACCTGCGCCTTCTCAATCACCCCATCCAGACTCTTCACAAACGCCTGATGCGCCGGGTCCGTCCGCACATAGTACTCCCGATCGGCCTCGTTCTCAAACTCAACCACAAAGACATGCGTGATGCCGTTCTTCGCTTGTCAGTATGGCCGTATTAGTGGGTGTAAGAAATACATACCTGCAGTCCCTCGATCGAGTTGTCCTTCCCCCCAGCGGAAGCCTTGATGTAAGGTTTTTGCGTTGTGGGTTGGATGCAGTTCTCCCTG